TCCTGGTTATCTTACAAAGAACTTTTTGACCTTGTGGTACTGGACTAACAGAAAATAATTTAATAAATTTCAGGTTTATATTTTAACTTAATAAATTCATAAAATTGAATATAAAAATTATATACTTCATAACAAAATCGATTACTTCTTGTTCAGTCATCTCGACTCTTGGTTTTGAGAACCGAAAAGCTTCAATCATTTGCGCGGTTGGACGATTTATAACGACAGCACGTAATAATTCAGCCGGAGCAACAGGTTGAGATAATGTCGAAGTTGAACCATTAAACGAGACATTGGATCCAGTAGCATTTCTTGTTTGTGAATACTGACCGTAATTGCTCCTCTATGAAAAAAAATTTCGGTTTTTTTTGTGCATTGATAAATAAAATGGATTATTTAATCAAAGAATAAAAGAAACGAAATTGAGCAGTACCCTTACGGAGGGTCGAGAATTTTCACCAAGTTCCATCTCATCATCATCATCATCGTCGTCGTCATCATCCATGACACTTTGTTCATCTTCTAAAGCACCATCATTATCTGATTCATTAATCGATAAATTATTGATAGCTGATATTATTGACGGTGAAATATTCATAGAATCTAAATATTTGAAATGACATTCGTCAATTTCAGTCCTTTATAAGGCAATATTCATTTAGAATTACCGTCAAAGTTTCCAGTGTTTCCAGTAGGTATTTGAAGAAAATTCGAGCGGTTATTTTGAAGCTGTGGATCGGCGTCCATTCAGATTACAAAGTTCCAAAGTATACGAAAGGATAAAAATACAACAAAAGCCTCTTTTGTCAAACGCGAATAGAGAACTTCACACGGATAGTCTTTTAACGATTATTATGATATATATTATTTTGATAGTGCGTTGTTTTAAATTTAATTTAGGGCTTATTGAAAGAGCGTAGAATTACAAATTGTGGATTTGGATCGTTAAGATGTTACATGAGCAGAAAGCAGAATCGCATAACTGATATGCAGATTTTTTATTGGGCAAGAACAAATCAGAAAGATCGTTATACAGCATTTAATGATTGGTTCGCTTCACTTGGGGTCGGTAACCCATCCGGTTGCCGGATATATTAACGTTAACCTGGAGTAAAGAGGGATTCGGAAAACTTTATCCTCAATATGAACTTTACATTGAGGAACCAATTGAGAATGATGAACCTAGAAGGACATTTCTTCTTGCTACAAAAAAGAAGAAAAATAGTAAAAACTCTCATTATGTTATTACTACTACACGACTTGACTCCGCTACATCATCGAAAAAAATTGTTGGGAAAGTTAGGTTGGACAAATAATTTAATTTACAATCTATAAAAGTTTATATTTTCGACATCAAGTTACATATATTTGAGATAGGTCAAATTTTTTAGGTACAGCTTTTGTTATGTATTCAAACGGACGTAGTCCATTTAAACGTGAACCTGAATTATCAGATATGCAAATTAGAGAAGAATTAGGTGCTGTGGTTTACGTAAGTCAACAAAATTGTTTGCGCGCATTAACTTTTGCGGAAAATAATAGTATAGTATAATTAATAATTATAATATGTTCGCAATGTAGGATCCAAACATTCTTGGATTTAAAGGTCCACGTAAAATGACTGTATTATTGTTGGGAATGACCAAAAATGGTGAAAGACCAGAATTTCGACCTACTACTGTAAGGATTTAAACTTTTATGATTGTCTGATCTATAAAGCATAAAAGATTTTATAACAATTCGTATTCGTTATTTAGGAATCACAAACATTGATTGGAAAATTCAAGAACGGAGATCATCGAGATATATTAATCTTGCATAATAAGTCACCTCAATGGAACGAAGGTTTTAATATAATCAAATTGAAATAATCTCAATGTGTTTTATTTTATTATTAATTTTGAACGTTTTTTTTTTTTTTTAGAGACACAATCATATGTTTTAAATTTCAATGGTCGAGTAACTATGGCTTCCGTCAAGAACTTTCAAATAGTGCACGACAATGATTGTAAATATTCAAATATATTTTTCTTAACATTATAAATTTATATACAGACTTACTTACCAAAATTTCTATTAGTGGACTATATTATAATGCAATTTGGTCGTGTGACTGAAGAAACCTTCACAATGGATTTTATGTATCCAATGTGCCCACTTCAAGCTTTTTCCATTGCATTAACAAGTTTTGACGCTAAATTGGCATGTGAATAAATGTGCAAGGTTGTCTTAACTCTTTCAGGTGGGTTATTTGATGCGTGAGAGTATATTAGAAGGACAACTCGCTTATGATATTTAAATGTGTAATTTTTAATGATGATAGATTTAGGGAATAT